TCATAAACTATATTGTTATGAAAGGAAAAAGTGCCCTAACACAGAATGCTGATTTAACTGTTACTGAGTACTCATTATGTGACAGACACTGTACTACACAAAAGGTAGAAAATACTACCCACTTACACATGAGGAAACTGAATAATAATTAAATTCTTCTCTTTAATAAATGGCAAAACATCAAGTAGTTGTGTTATTCTAGACACAATACCTGATTAGTCATCAGTTCTGGACCAAAGTTTACATGGGGGGATAATGCAGAGATTAATGTCAGCAAGTGTCCTTGAAAGAACCTAATTGTCCCATATGAAGCTTGCCTGATTTAATTATTACTATGCAGTTAACCAGTTAAGTCAATCCATAAGGTTATGCCAAATATACTGTTCTCCCTGTTTCCATAATGTCCTTCTACCTAGTCTATTTTCCATGCAGAAGCCTGCTCACATTATGATTCTACTCAAAATCGTTCCTTAGCTTCATATTCCACTCAAAGAAAGAAAAAAAAAAAGCAAAGTTCTATCAAAGGGACCTATTACTAACCCACTTGGTGAAACCAAGTTGTCCCCACCACATATTCTTTTAAAAAAATATATTTATTTTTTTAATTGTAGTTGGACAGAATACCTTTATTTTATTTATTTATCTTTATGTGGTGTTGAGGATCAAACCAGAGCCTCGAGTGCTAGGCATGTGCTCCACCACTGAGCCACAACCCCAACCCCAAACTACATATTCTTTACAGTTCCCTTTATTTACCATGACCAGAACTCCATCTCCCCAATTTACACATGGCCTTCTCCCATAGTCTCTTCAGATATCTAAGAGGACTTCCTCCACCACTCTACATGGAAAAGCATCCCCACTGACCTCTGTCTCTTTTGCCTATGTTACTTTTCTTCCTAGCAATTGCCATTGGTAATTGTTAAGTTTGTTGATATCTACATGTGGTTGGTCAGTGGTTATCTTATTGGACTAACAGAGTTTAAACAATGTGGAGGCAAGAAAAGTAAAAGGAGCCTATTGAAAGGTAGAAAGAGGGGCAGAACAGCATGTTGCCACAGAAGATGAGAGAAGATAGGGATAAAAAATAGAACACAGAAAAGGAAAAGAGACTTCTATATTCATCAGCAAAGAGTACTTCAGTGTTCAAGAAAGCCATGTGAGAAAAGGTGATATGAAAGCCATACTATAGGAAGTTAAAAAACAAGTACATGGGCTCTTTCAGAAGTTATCAAACTCAGTTTATGCACATTGTCTATCTTGTAAGAAAAAGACATAAAATATAAATGAAATTAGGCAACAAGATCAAGCAAACAGGTTTCTAATTAAAATTCAAAGTAGTTACTTATGGACCTCAGACTAATCTGAATCTTTTAGTATGTCAATTTTCAAATAAAGTTTATGAAGTATTGCCTTAATTGTGAAAGATATTAGAAATCTAATTATATTTTCTAGTTTTCATCCAATGACTAATTCTCTGCATATGTGAGGCTGATCACTTTACTCCTAGATTTCTGCATTTAAGAAAACAATTAGTCCATGTTTCATTAGAAACTGAAGTTATACTCTCCTTTTGCAAGAAAGGGTATCACATATCACTTATAACTTACCAGTATCCAAAATGTAATATCCTTTTGCCTTTGCTATAACAATAAATCTTTTCTAGTAATAATTTTCTCCTTAAATAAACTGTAAAAAACATTTCTCAACAATTATTTCCCAAATTTAGTATTTTAGGTAAAAATTTTTATTTGTAGCAAGTATAAGGGGAAACACTATTGCTCAGAAATTGAGAATACTTATACCATGGGCAATCCCTCAAATCAATTACAGAAATTCAAATGATATTTTAGCATGAAATATTTCCTCTTTTATTTCTTCTTCCATGCTCCATTATTGCTGAACTTCAAAAATATTAATGATGTGACAATTTTTTTAAAACCTAGGATGACAACCTTTAGAGATATTGATAGTAATAAGTGACATTTCAAAGCACTTTGCAATTTCACACAGCTCTTTAACATAGATTGTCTCATTTAATTATCGCATCATTCTCCAGAACTTAATAATGTTACCCATAATTATTCCCAGTTTAACAATAAGAAAACTGAGTTAATAAGTGGCAGAATATTAGAAGCTAGGTAGTTATGTTCATTACTCTTTCTATGGTTACTCTCTCTCTCAGATGCATACTAAATTTATAGCTATGAATTTCTATTCAGTTTTCTTAATAGTTCATTAAATGCTACCAGTACAATCTAGGATAATATATGACATATCTGTAAACTAACTCTTTTGCATTTTAAATATTAAATATTTCTAAAATATTGTACTTATAAAATTATCTTAAGAAACAGCCCAATCCTAAAATGGCAAACATTGATCAAATTCCATCAAGAGAATCATATTTATCACTAACTGCTATTGGAAAAATATGCTCATATGTCAAATTGAAAATCCTGGGTGTTGAAACATTACAATTTGGAGCAGCTTGGAGCATGGTAAGACATAGTTTGGGAAACTTTTTACAAAATTTCATTCTACATTTTCTGAGAATGTATCAGGTTACTTCACTAAAAGTATTGAAATGTACTTTATCATACTTAATATTCACTCAACAAAGTAACAATTAAATATCTTTAAGACTCAAGCCGCTTTCCTTCAAATCTACCATGTCAGGTAGATTAAAGCAAATATATATTTTCATTTTCTAATTTGTTAAGATTTTAAATATACTGAATGAGATAAAAATTAAGGAATAAAAATGAACCACTGAAATAAAAATTATGATTTTATATTTTAGCAAACAAGCAAAATGTCAATCGAATGGCAACTGTTCTAATTATGGCTTCTTTTAACATTAAAGTAATAATTTGCATGAGTGATAGTTTACATAATTTTGATTGTTATTTTCAAATGCAGTATTCAATAAACATCCAGCAATCAATGATTATTTAATACTACAGTGGTAAAACGCACTACATAAAGAGTCTGTATCTCTCCAAAAGAAAACTAGCAAACTCAAGCCATAATTCAAAGGAAATGAGGAATTAAAACAGTATGTGAGGTATCACTGTTGAAAATGTTCTGTCAAATTTCTAGTATACTCATGAAGTACCTATTCAAAATCGTTGTAATGTCCAAGCAAAGAGTAGACGACTTCTGAAATATGGAACCAACAATAGAGGGAATAATAGTTCTAGAAACATATTTTGGTGAATCATTCATACAAAACTATATAAAATATAAAATTATATATAGCACATCCACAGATAATATAAAATATATATACTGGGCAAAAACAAATCTGGCAAAAACATTTCTATACATTCCTAATGATTGAATACATAATCATAGAAATTATTTTTCATTTACTAATACTTTTTAAAAGTAGAAGCTTACTTTAAATGCTTACTTTATTTTGCAATTCAGTCATGTTTCTTTTCATTAAATATTTTTCATATATCTTAAAAATATATAATTATAATAATATGTCATGATAAGGTAGTTTTAGCGTAAATGTGATTCTTGAACAGAGAAAGCCTCATCTTAAATGTTTAATCAAAATGAATGAATGAATAATGAGCTTTCTTCCATATGTAAGCAATGATTTTTTTCATATAACATTGGCTCACATGAGTAAATTCTCCCCTGTCAACATATTCACATATTTCTTTGCCAGAATAGTACTATCTATCTATTATTGTTCCCCAAAACTACTTGTCTTCCATTAATTTTAGGAGGAAAAAAATGTGGAAAAATTTGGTTTCTGATAAGTTTCTCCTCTGTACATAAATTTATGTCAAGAAATTACAAAAAAAAAGGATTTCCTTTCAGAATTTTTTTAGTTTTTAGAATAAAATCTGTATTCATAAAAATGTTTATCATTTTTATTTAATGAAAAGTTACAAAACATAAGGCATTATTACAACTTTATCTAAAAGTTACCCACACATACATACATATATTCATACATACATAAATGTATTTACATATATATGTACATTCACTGAAAAAAGTTCAAAGAGCTGTTTAAGAAAATGGAAACAGTGGCCGTGTCTTGGGAGATTTAGGCAGTAGATGAAGAGTTCAAAGCCAGCATCAGCAAAAGCAAGGTGGCTAAGCAACTCAGTGAGAACCTCCCCCAAAAGAAAATACGAAATAGGGCTGGGGATGTGGCTCAGTGGTCAAGTGCCCTGAGTTCAATATCCAGTACCCCCAAAAAATAAATAAATAAAATGGAAACAATAGTTGGCCAGGTGAGTAAGATTATAGATAGTTCATTTTTCTCTCTCTCATTTTTCTTCACGCAACAATCTTGATCATACAGAATGGTGAGTTTCATTAGAGCATATATATACACATAAATACAATTTAATCAATTTCACTCATGTCAATATAATATTTCTAAAGCAGTTTTAGGTTCACATAAAAATTAATCAGAAAATCCTAAGATGTCTCATATGCCTTCTATCCCTACACATGCATAGCCTACCCCATTTTCAACATTACCCAACAAAATGGTATATTTGTTACATTTGATAATCTACCATCCCTAAGTCCATGGCTTACATTATTCCTTTGGGGGATTTTTCAAATATCTAAATTCTTCTACTAAGAACAAACTAGCTCCTTTCTTCCACTCTGTTTTTTAGAATTTCATTATTATTTTAGAAATTAACTTATCTTCGTGGAAGAAAATTTTACAAGCTATAAAAAGATTGTCAAGTACAAAGGGAAGTGACTTATAGCAAATTTAAACATCTCCTACACAACACTCTGCATTCTACTCTGTCAGTGAATTTCAATTGTGAGAATTCTGGTCATCTGGTTTAATTAATTTGCTAGTAAAGCTTTTCACATTTTTTAGAACCACAATTTAAATATAATTCAGCTCTCCAGAATAAAAGTTCTCATATATTACACATCAACTCTATTCAACTCATTTTTATTTAGTCTAAAATGAAAAGGAAAAAAATAGTCATTTTAAAATAACATACTCAGCTGCCTGTTTGATGTGCTTTAAGTCTTTCTTCAAATTTTTGTTCTCATTATCTAAAAGCATAATCTGAGTGTAGACATCTGGAACACTCCCAACAGTTCTAAGTTCAGTTATCCCCTTCTGTATTAACTCATACCTAGAAAAAATCAAACAAATGATTTTGTCATTTCTCTCCACTAAATTACCTGAACTCACATACAATTAAAAAAATTCTCAGTGAATTTTATGGTAATTAGTTGCCATATTACATTTATAAATTAAAATGTTAACATTCATAATATATTATTAAAATAAAGTATTAATGAATTGCTAGGTACTAATACCATGATGGTATATAATAAGGAAAGAGATTTTACTCTGAATCAGATTGAAGCCATGGGAAGGATTTGAAACAAGTAACACTGATCAGATTCATTTTATAGATAGATGAGTAAGTTGGATGAAACAGACTGGAGAAGAGAATGCATTGAATCAGAGACTAATTAGTAGGTTGCAGCAATAGTCCAGGAGAGACAGAATAGTGAGCTGAACAAAGTGGATAGCAGCTGAGGTTATAAGAAGTGCTGTCTAGGTAGAGCTAGCAGGATTCTCTGATGAATGTTGTATCAAATTAGATGTAATGTTTTGAATGACCAACAGTAAAAAAAAAAAAAAAAAAAAAAAAAAAAAAAAAAACAAGAAAAGGAGAGAAGTCAAGGATGACTTCAAGGTTTCGGTCTATGCAACACACAGCCATTTACTAAGTGGGGACAAATGAGGTAAGGATGGGTGATTGGAGGAATCAAGGAACTGTTTCCATTTGTGGTAAAGGTAACATGTCTAGCCAATCAAGGAAGATAAAAGTTAGATATACATGTCAAGAGTTCAGGGAAAATGTCAAAATAGGCAATTTAAATATGAGAATCATCAGTATATAAATGCTACTTAAACTCATGAGACTAGAAAAGACTAGATAGACAGTGAATGTAACAAGAAAAATGATGAAGTCCCAGGACTGACCCATAAAACACTCCATCATTTCAAAGTTGAAAACTACCACAAGAATTCAAAAGAAAGAGAGGTCAGTGAAGTAATAAGAGATTATGAGAAAGCTGCGGGCAAGGGTCAGGTGGAGAAATGTTTGAATAAGGAAGAAACAAACACTGGTGACAATGCTGTTAGGAGTTTGAGAGAGTACTGAGAATCAAATACCTGGAATTGGCAATGTGAAAGTCACTGAAAAAAACGTTTACTCAGCTAAGCATTGGGATAAAAGGGGTTGGGAAATAAGAAAGTGGCAACAAATTTTTTCAAGGAAACAAGCCATTAAAGTATTGACTAGGAAGTTAAGATGAACTTCAAAGAGGATGTAATAAAGTTCAGGTGCTTCATTTTTCTTTTTTTTAGAATGTATGAGATATTATTACACATCAACAAGCTTATGGGAATGACCCAGAAGAGAGGCACAAAAATAATAAGAAACAGAGAGACAAATACAGGAGGGATAATGTCCTTGAGTAGATGAGAGGAGCTAGAATACAGTTAATAAGAACAGGGCAGGACACAGACAACAACCTTCATCACTGTGATAGGTAAGAAGAAAGAAGGCCTGAAGACACAGCAGCAGGTGGTTAAAGGGGGAGGTGCTACTCTTTCTCCTTTTTCCTCAATACACTAAAAAGAAACATCAGAGAATTATTGATAGATTGTAAAGAATTATAATCACTATATGCAACAATCAATAAAGCTAAATAAAAAACAAACAACATAGAAAAACATTTACATAATAAAGGTATTAACAAAGCAAAGGTTATTATAGGTAAGCTAAGTAACAAAAATATTTTAAATTAGTATTTTCATATTACAAATCATAAATTCACATTAAATTTTAATAAGTAGTTCTCTATTTTTATGATATTTATCCCATCTGATAATAAAATACCTGCAAAAAGACTCCTATACAATACACTGAAGGTTAAAATAGTTATATCAATATATTGTACTATTTACCACAATTTATTAAAAAAATAGGTAACCATTTAATCATAAACTCAATATTTTATCTGTTTTTGAAATGTGATTTATACTTATCTCAAAAGAGAAGACATAGAGGTTGACTGAAGTACTAGACCACAAAGTTTTTCTAACCATAAAATTGGTTTTTAGCATCTTGCTTTTATGTAGTGCAGAAATAAAAAAATCCACTAATGAAATTATATCTGTGAGGACAAAAAGCTATTTAACAGTTGCCTTCTAAATTAAATAATCATGTAAATAAAATAAATGTGATAAGAGAAGCAAAAATCAAACATATGACATTTATCATAGGGCATTCAGAAGTCATTCATCATACAAAATTTCTTCCATGCATGAAAGAAGAAGAATTAAGACTTCAAAGTCTCTATAAGTAGTTGGAAAATTTAGTCTCAAACTCCAGAAATACAATTCTGAAAAAATCCTACATTCTCCTAAGATTTTTAGCTTTGTTTTGGTTTTGCATGTATGTACAGTTTTATTTTATTTTTTACAATTCAATTTTTTTATTTATTTCTTACATACATGACAATAGTGCAGTGTATTACATTCATATTTATCCATTCACAGCACAATTTTTTGTAACCCTGTATATAAAGTATTTTCACAACAAATTATGCCATTATACATGAGCTCTCTTATTTTTTTGGCATACAATTCTTAATACACCTTTATACCACTATTTATCATATTAGTTTGTATATAAAGTATGTTGACACCTAATTCACATCTTCATATATGTATTTTGTATAATGATGACCATCTGCAGTTTTATTTTTAAGAAATAACTTTGGCGTACTACATATGCAGCCACATCGATGTTTATAGCAGCTCAATTCACAATAGCTAAACTGTGGAATCAACCTAGACACCCTTCAGTAGATGAATGGATAAAGAAACTGTGGTATATATACACAATGGAATATTACTCAGCATTAGAAGAGAATAAAATTATGACATTTGCAAGAAAATAGATGGAGCTGAAGAATATTATGCTAAGCAAAATAAGCCAATCCCAAAAAAACAAAGGCCAAAAGTTTTCTCTGAAATGTGGATGCTGATCCATTATGGGAGGTCGGCGGGGCACAGGGGGGAACACAGGAAGAATAGAGGAACTTTGCATTGAGCAGAGGGAAGTAAGGAGAGGGAATGAGGCATGGGGATAGGAAAGATGATGGGATGAGATGGACATGCAGGAGTGGTATTACTCTATATCGTGTACAACCAGAGAAATGAAAGGTGCTGCTCCATTTGTGTACAATGAATTGAAATGCATTCTGCTGTCATGTATAACTAATTAGAAAAAATAAAAAGAAAAAAAGAAATACCCTGGCCCTTTTATTTCTTCCTTATTCTCTCATCATTAGAAGACTGAAAAAAATGTTCATGTAGAAAAAGATTGTTATAACTATTAGAAAACAAAATTTATTCCCAACAAAACTGCCAATAAAACTATATTAATCTGCTTTGTATTTACCATAAGTCTATAAACTACTTGAAATTATATGTAAATGGAGAATAGGTATGCATTTTCATGAGAAATTAGAGTTTTTGTAATATTTGTGTACATACCAAAGAGTTTTAGATCACCACCACAAAAGACAGACAGCATGATAAAATACCAGCAAAGATATAAACAGTGTCAGACTAGGCGGGATATATAACCTATGATACAACATAGGTTATAAAAAATAGGGAAAAGGTCATTTAAACAGAAGCATCAAATGAGAATTTTTTCTCTTGTTTTCAGAGTTAGGAAAGTATTTTACCAACAAAGGCAAAAATCCCTTGTACAATTCTACAATATAGCATTGTGGTTAGAAGAATAGTCTCTAAGATGCATCTAGCTTGAGTTGACTTTGCCACTTGCTGACATTTACTAAGGCAGATGTCCTAGTGATGAATGAGTTTACCATTTCCTCATCCATAAAATTGATAATATGTTAGTAGCTATCTGTTACATATAATTGTTGGGAGAAATGTGAAATAATGCATAAGAACACACTATATCAATAAAATGATACAAAGTAAATTTTTGAGTGATAAGCCTAAGGCTTTATCTTTTAGTATTTTAAACCCTTCACATTTAATGAATGCTCTAGTATTTTTACTCTAGATTTTAAACTTAATATTCACCTACAAGTCTACCTTCTTGATATCATAGTACATAAATATATGAAAATATATTTACAGGGCTCAAATTTAGCATATTACAATACAATTACAAGTTAACACTACAGAAGAGTCAGAACATTCCTGTGTTTAGTTCTTAAGTGACACATAACCAAAAGCCAACTCATCAACTGAAGAAACATTGATAGATTTAAATGATGACGGAACAAGTAGTTGTGTAGTATTTACTGAGTCAGTAATCTATACAAAACACCACATATACTTCCTATAATACTGGGAATGTAAGGGCTTTTTCAACAGAAGTTTTAATTCTAGGCTCTGCCTTTGTTACCTCACTATCCCTAGAAAATTGTAACTATACTGCCCACAATTGGATAATTATATATTATGCCAATTTTTATTGGCTGAAAGCTGCAACATATATCTTTATAAACTAAAAAAAAAGTATTCTTAATTTACAGTCTCTTCTATAATAAGTAAATTAAATTAGTAATTAAATGTTATAAATAATCATCCTATTACCTTTGATAGAATTTTTACTAACACCCTTCCTTCACTGAAATGGTAGGAAAAGAGGCCAAATTAGAAAGAACCAAGGATGAAAATATTAATAAAAAAAATAAAGAAAGACTAAATTAAAAACTCTGTTTTCAAAGCATTAGCTGGAAAGAGAGAAAGAGTCAGAGAAAGTGTGCTAATAAAAGGGAAAGGCAAAGAAGAGCCAAGAATGTACATTAAGAGTGAATGAATACTGAACACATTAACAGCCAGGAGAATAGTCCAGTTAGGAAGTGGCTGACATATACTGCTCTTTGATTTTGCCCTCCTCCAAGGTAAATTACCATTCTCCATAGAGTATTCCTAAAATAGACATAAAAATAGCATTGACTAACCCCAGAATGAAAATGTTTTGGTGGTTCATAGAGCAAATTCCTAATACATTCACATATATATTATAAAAGGCAGGTATTGAAAACTCTTTTTGAAAAGGGCCAGAAATTTAATATTTTAGAAATTGCAAACACTGCTTTGCAGGCTACATAGTCCCTGTTGTGACTAGTTACCTTTTCTTTTGTTGCATGAAAACAGTCACAGACAAATACCTAAAAGATAGATCATGGCTATATTCCAATAAAATTTTATTTACGAAATCAGGAGGGCAGGCCAGATTTGGCCAAAGGGGCTTAGTTTTCTGACTCAGGACTTAAAAGATTTACTACTTGAGAATTGAAAGACATAAGTTAAAGTTTACTGCCCAGATTTTTGTTTTCTTTTGCTTTTCACAAATTAACAACAGGAAAACATTGCTTGGTTTCCTTTTGCAAGATCAAGTGAATTCAAAGCAAAGATATATACTAGTGGTTTTTACAGTAAGAAAAATGATGAAAATAATACATAAATATCCCATAGTACAGGAAAAGGTTTCTGATAAAAATGAAAATGTTTCATGTGAAATAATTCTCCAATACATTGCAGATATAAAAGCTAGGGATTTAAACTAGCAGCTAGAGATAAGGTTAAAATTATCTTAACTATAATATTAATAAACCTATATTATAAAAAGACACAGTACATAATTGTTACCTTCTAACTGCAACATCACACTGCATCCCAGTAATCACATAGTTTCCTAAAATGTCATCTCATCAATTCAGAGTGATCAATTTTAAAGGATGATAACAATTATCTAATTACTAAAAGTCTATTTGGATGGATATTTCTCTAAGGCAATCATTTCACACTTCACACTGGCCTAACAAGTTAAGTACCATGCTTCCTAACACACATTCTTTTTTTTTTTTCTCCCTTTCCCTCCCATCTCATGTCTCTGTTTAAAGTTAATCTTTTTTTTTCCTGCTCTAACACACATTCTTAGAAGACAAAAAAGTAATTGAATCATATTAATTTCTCATTTAATCACTTGCAAATTAATCACTGACATACATTTATAAAAATGTATTTTCTAATATATCATTATTTCTTCAGAACATTTTTTAAATCATTCACACAACTTGCAGTTTTAAAATAAGCAGTATTATTTTTCTACCACCAATCTCAATTTTTTTCTTAGATTGTATTAATAAAAATTGGTTCTCATTAAATTTATTCACATTCAATATGATTAAACAATGAAACCAATTATTCTTATATGCATGTTCTCAGTATATGAGATGGGAAAAACCATAAAATTAGAATTGTATCACAACCAGATTAGTAAAAATTGGAAATTACCTCAACATTTAAAAATCAGGATTTAACCCAAAATAATATAGATTAATCTGTATATATCTTATATATACATATTTTATTTCTCTCTTTCTACAACATACAATGATTATTAAAAATCAAAAATATTTCAAATCCAGTCATTTAATAGTATTATTTTAAAGAATGCCAGGAATTCAAAAATATGCCTGGTGACCTTATTGTTATAGCAAAGGAATAAAACCGCATGCCTGCTGATTTTCATAATCAGTAAGTTACTTAAATTTTCAATTATAACAGAAAAATCTTATTTTTAGATAATATTTGAAAATACAATGCCCCTTACTTCTAAAGGAAAGACTATACATTCAAAAAGAATCAGGTACATAAGATGGGAAAGGCAGGTGTTTAACAATTCATAAAGCAAGCAATGTAGTACTGTTAACAGAATGTCAGTGTAGGAGACAACACCATTAGAAATTATACAAAAACAGTAGGAAAATATTTCATAAAAATATTTTTGTTATTTAACTCCAGAAGATATTCAACTTTCTTAATATTTTTTAAAGATAATTAAATTTGAATATTTTAGAAAGATGTTTAATAAAATTTCTTGGCAACTATACATGATATGTATCTGTGCACTTACATGTTTATATGAGTGTGTGTTGTAGTTTCAAAGGTGAAGATAGGAAAGGTTTCTATCTGTGTAAATTGCATCACTCCACAGTCTTTTAAGGCAGTTGAACATGCACACAGTAAATGCTATTACCATTTCTAGAGAACTATTTACCCACAAAATTGTTTACCATTCAGATTGAAAGCAATCAAGAGTTCTGGTCATTCCCATTTTGATCAGAAAATTGCAGAGAAAGTCTTCTATTACTTCAGGAACTGCATGCCTTGAAGGAAGAATTGTTTTCTGCTCCTGAAATATAAATGTAAAATCATTAATTCTGTAAACAAAAATGCTCTGATTAGTGGTACAAATAGGTTTTCATTCATTCATTCATTAATTTTTTAACAATTTTTCTTAAATATTAAATGCCAGGGACTATTTTAATCCCTAGGCTTAAAGCACTGATGAAAACAAACAAGTGTCTGCCCTCATATGTGACAGTCATATGAATGAAGACAGAATATGAATGACTAAATAAAACATATACAACATGGCAGAGAGTACCAAGTACTGGGTAGGGGTAGAAAGCAGAGGCTTAAAGATAGGGAGAGGCAAGCTTAAGGCAAGAACATGCACGGAAATAGGGAGTTACCATGCATTTGGTAACTCCCTATTTGGTGGAGGAAGACTGCACTGAAATATGAGGTTTGAGTCATAATCTCAAAAAAAAAAAAAACTCAAGTATTGAAATCCAGAATGATCAAAATTCCTAAGGTATAAGATCTTGAAGGACCAAAATCCCAAAAATATTATTCTAAAAAATTTTTAACTCTTTAAAAAGATATTACTTTTTTAAATGATTTAAGAAACAATATCATGACAAAACACATCAAATGCCACTTTACACAATAATATAGGCAACAATAACAAACATTTTTATTAGCATAAGCATTCAGGTATACTAAGTACAGTTGTACAGGTATAACTGATGTAAACAGACAAACTTATTCATAAAAAATAGGTTAAAAACAAAAGGCAGGCTGGGGTTGTGGCTCAGTGGCAGAGCACTTTCATGGCATGTATGAGGCACTGCTTTTGATTCTCAGCACCTCATATGGACAAATAAATAAAATAAAGGTTCATCAACAACTAAAACCATATTTTTAAAAAGCAAAAGATACATATACCACTATAGTTAGTAGTTATGTGCACACAGTTTTATAACTGTAATCATATGAAGTACCATCATGAACAATCTCAATCTTTGATGAAATCAATCAAAAACCAGGATGGGTCACACAAACACATATGTAGTCACCCAAAAGCTACAAATCTCAAGAAACATTTTTCACAAATGCACATGTATTTAAAAAAAGGACATCAATTCATTTACTGAGGAAGTTTCAAGGTTTTTACAAACTTGCAATGCTTATATACAAAGTCAATAATGTTTTAATTCACTTTTGCTAAGCCAAACTTGCAAAAAAAAACTGTGTAAAATGAATTAGTTATCTAAAAATCTTCACAAAATTTTGACGTCCAATACTATAAATCATATGAAGATGAAATACAAAAGACAGTGAATACTAAAAATATAATAATGATGTTAACTTAAAATAGTGGAATGGAAAAACAGAAAAAAAATCATCATGAAAATACACATTACAAAGATAGATTATGGGCAACTGCACATATGTAGTCCATAGGATCTAGAAGACTTTCATAATCATTAAGTCTATTTTGAAGTCTTGCACATGATGAAGACTGTTGTTTTAAAGTAATGCTCTCAGAGAATATGTTCACATTCTATGTGGCACTGCTCTTTTCTGAAGTTCTTCTATGATTTGATATATTTCTTCTATGTTTGATATCACTGAGATGAACACTCACTATGAAATTTTCCCACCTCCCATGCTGTCTTACGGTATGTGGATACTCAGAAATCTCTTCTTCATGCATTCATAGAAAGACCACAAATTTGGCAGAAATGATACTGGTGACAGTACAGCAACATCATTGTAAATGTGTCTTCTTTTTTTATTCTTTTTTTAAAATTTTTTTACTTATATGTGACAGCATTACAATTCTTATTACACATATAGAGCACAATTTTTCATATCTCTGGTTGTACAAAAAGTATGTTCACACCAATCTGTCTTCATACATGTACTTTGAATAATAATGTCCATCACATTCCACCATCATTTCTAACCCCATGCCCCCCTCTCTTCCCCTCCAACCCTGCTGCCCTACCTAGAGTTCGTCCATATCTCCCATGCTCCCTCTCCCTACCCCACTATGAATCAGCCTCCTTATATCAGAGAAAATATTCGGCATTTGTTTTTTGGGATTGGCTAACTTTACTTAGCATTATCTTCTCTAACTCCATCCATTTACCTGTAAATGCCATGATTTTATTCTCTTTTACTGCAAATATTCCATTGTATATGTATGTCACATTTTTAATCCATTCATCTATTGAAGGACATCTTGGTTGGTTCCACAGTTTAGCTATTTTGAATTGTGCTGCTATAAACATTGATGTGGCTGTGTCCGTATAGTATGCTGTTTTTAAGTCCTTTGGATACAGACTGAGGAGAGGGATAGCTGGGTCAAATGGTGATTCCATTCCCAATTTTCCAAGAAATCTCCATACTGCTTTCCATATTGGCTGTATCAATTTGCAGTCCCATCAGCAGTATATCAGTGTATCTATTTCCCCACATCCTCACCAACACTTGTTGTTGTTTGTCTTCATAATAGCTGCCCTGTAAATATGTCTTCTTATCCTAGGACACACGTAAATATTTCCAAGCCAATCAGTAACTTTACTGGCTTCTCAGGCATTGTGACTTTCACTCAGTGAAAGTTCCTGAAATTTCATTGGCTAGAAGAAAAGCCAGTATAGACAAATTATGAATTTTTAAACTGAAGTTTTCATCCTTGCTATATTGTATAGCCAATAAACCTGCCTAACTTTTCTACCAAGCATATTAGGCTGAATGGATTTTCTTTTTTTACTTGAGAATACCTTGAACTTCACTTTTAGATCTTTGATTGTACCTGATTCCAAATATGTCATTATGATGTGGTGATTCAATTAAGCTCTATTTCTTTGTGAAAAGTCTACCATATATCTCCAAACAAGCATTTATAAAGTGCTTCACTTTGTTTAAGATCCAACACAGGCATGAACAGCATATAGCTGATTTTTAAAAAAATACAAACATGTCTGTTTTGCAAATGCCATCAGTATTATGATCAGCACTGGATACAGTGCTACATTAGCACAAATCTAGACAAAAAAAGAATGACTTGTATTTCAGATGTCTATCAGGTAGAGCAAAGACCCTGAGGCAAGAGTGTGATTGGATTCTTTCACTAAGGAGGTGAACTTTCCCTTCCAATAGCACATAATACACTTAAAAGGAGGAGCGGGTGGATAATAATGTAGGAACCTTTTGATTCTCTTAATTTTATTATTTTTAATATATAACAATTTTGGTATATTTATTTTTAGAAAAACTATGGAAGAAATGTGTGATTGAAGAAGCTATATTCTATAATGAAAGTAAGTACTTCTATCAGGAGTCAGCTAACTGTTCTCATGAATAAAGTTTAAGAGAACACAACTATGTCCATTTGTTTACACACTGTCTATGGCTCTTTCACAGTACATGAGACAGCTGACTCATTGCTAGAGACATCTGATGGCTCTTTTTTTCATTTACCATATTGACAGAACATCTTTTGATAGCTAGCCTAGAAAAATGGAGATATTTCAGTAAGTGACATATAAAATCAGATAAATCAAGTATATCACATAAGCCACTGTATAAATAAAACAAACCAAGTAATGGGTAGTTTCTATCTCTTCCTGAACATATCTGAAACACATACCCTGAAACACTCACATGGAACAGAAATACAACCACCTCATCTGCTGTGGTTCTTACTTATACATATAAATGTATATCAAGATTAGAGGTGTTAAGTAAGAACCATAGTTGAGTCTCCTTAAAAACCCTCATTTACTTATCCAAGATAATTATATATTGATTTATCTAGCAATATAAATATATTTGCTAGATAAATCAATATATAAAGGAGAAAAGTACTTCGATTATCTTGGATACATAAATGAGGGCTTTTAATGAGAATCAAGTATTGTTCTTATTTAACACCTCTAATCCTGATATACCTATACCTTAACCCACAATCCTTCTGTATTTACACAATATACACACACACTCCAAGCTATAATGTGATAATAAATGTCTCTTGTATTTTTACACAAAATATTTACTCAACATAGATTTAGTGAACATTCCCCATGTGCTAAACACTGTGAAAGTTGTGAGGAATTCAACAAGACACAGTCCTGTCTCAGGAATTGAAAGACTGCTTGAGTAAAAACTAAGCATTACAATATAGAACTCTTCTATTTATGATAAGATTAGATTACAAAGGCCTGTTCATAAATTTACACAGACATCATACACACAACCAATATGCATATTTACATAATTTAAGTAGCACTTTTATCTCAATTATACATTATTTACAACTCTCATTATGACTTTGTAACTAAATTATGATGTTAATAAAACTCCCCAGAATAAGCACACAAAAAAGCAATGAACACAAACTAGCAAAAATGTGCATCACTTTACAGATTGCTGAATTACTAAAAGTATTCTACTCTTATGGCCAGAGCCACTTTTATTTATCTGAAGATAAATAAAAGTGGCTCTGGCCAAGTACCTTCATTTCACAATGACAGTTCTAAAGTTGACCTTTTTTAAGTAGAGTTTTCTATGTTATGTCACTATTGATATAGTGATTTGCTAGATAAATCAATATATAAAGGAGAAAAGTATTTCAATTATCTTGGATAGGTAAATGAGGGCTTTTAAGGAGACTCAGGTTGACTTTATAGAAACATGGAAGTTCAACTGGCAAAGAAAGAGACATGGAAATTCAAGGCAAGAAAAAGAACTGCAACAAAGACAAGGTGTGACAGTTAAATTCATTTGTACTCAAGATCTTAACAGCAGAAGGACCAAAGATACATTGGAAAGACAGCAAGCATATCAAAAAGTCAAAGGCAGGTAGAAGGGTGGTGACAGTGAGGATTTAAGTTTTAAGAGATAAATTCAAATCTGCATTTGGAAACATCATTTAAGCAGGAGAGAAGGAAGCACAGTTGCATGCAGTAGCTCACCTGAGAGAAGACAAAACACAGGTCCAAGAGACTAAGTGAGGGATGAAGATGAGGAGAAGAATACAAGAGATGAAGACAGGTAGAA